TAAGGATTCTGATAACAGGTTTAGATTAGATCCCTGATATTGTTTTCGTTTAGTTGAGCTTATTAACAATTTCAATTAAATTTGTACTTACCTATATTACTTACTAGCTGAATCACTCGGCGTTGCCCGGAAAAAATCCTTTTGGGTGTAATTCACTCTGCATAGGTATGGAAGCAAAATCATAAGGATAGGTTGCAGGTAGCTGGAAACCGCGGACCGCCGTGCCACACAATACGTATTGGCGGCGAATAATTATAATTGTTAATTACTCCTCTAAAACGCAACATTTTTGAAAATACTTTCTTATTGCTCGGTGAAAATATGAGAAGAACCTCTATTCCAAATTTCAAGTCCGTACGTTGCGTAGTTTTTGAGATACAGCGATCAGTCAGTCAGTGGTATTTGGATTTTATGTATATAGATTTTACTTTCAAAATTTTAATGTATAAACATTTTTAATAATACATAAATTACACTTCTTCGGACGGATATAAGTAAAATATGGTAAAGTTGTTATTAGGATCCTAACCATATACAATATAAATAAATTTAAGTCTGTTGTTAATATTTCATAATCTATACGATATTGAAGTCTGCAATATTCAGTCTAAATTTTGCCTTTACAGAATTTCTTACAGTCGGTGAGTTTTAATCTCATTAAAAATAATGTCATAAGACAGTGACAAACGTTTAAAATATTCCTGATGTTTATTTGTAACGAACGTTGAGTTGTAAGTGAAATAATAGTGAGCAATTTTATTGTTTTTGATTTAGGTCCAACATCACGTTTTTTTATTATTCTCTTTAAAACGCTGAAACAACTATATTATTACTTACTAAAAATTTTAAAACATTTTCTTAAAAACTAAAAATTAATTCGTCTGGTTTGAAATATTATAATATAGTATTTGATTTCGAACTAGCTTAGACTAAATTGATTTATCAGCCAATGTTTAGTTATGCATAAAGATTAGATGAAATAGGTACACATTTTAAAACACAATAATTGGATAGTGGTTGAGTAATTTAAAAAAAAAAAATGAGCATAATTTTTGAATTTTTGAATTTTCAATATTCCTTTGTTTTCTTATTCTGAGAAACATGTAATTTAAAAATACAAAAAGAAAATAAAATATAATTTTTTTTATATTATAATAATCATTCGGAGATTTCACCCTGATCTAAAAAATTTGATTTTTATAGCAAATATACGTTTGTATCTGTACGGGGTACGGAATGAGATACTTTTAAAAAGGAACTTTCCAACATTGGCCACACGTACTTGAATCAATATTCAAACATTGAAATGGCTTTTTATGCTTGATAATTATTTAATGTTTGTATTCAGTCGATACTTGTCGAAAAGACTGAACGCCTTGCCAGGGTCTCTTCAATATTTATTGCACTGTGCAATTATATTTACAACGGTTAATAATTTAACATTGACAATATATTTCGTCAGGTAAGTAAACGAGGGATATTTGAGATAAAATCAATAATAACCATAATTATTATAATGCTGAGTACAATATTTGTTCTGGTTTCAAATAAAAATCACGATCTTTTTAGTGATCTATTATAGCTCTTGATGATATTGAATCCGCTCAGCATACACTACTCCCATGATAGTTCTCACCCCATAAACTCAGTAAATGTAATAACACTTTCGTATAAAAAAACACATTATACCTATACAGATCTGGACTTAATTATTCGTGCGACAAACTGACTGTTGACGAGAAATATATTTCGTCCAAGACGTGTCCTGCTACAAGTTAAAGACCGGACCGACCCTCCGTAATTACATCAATTATTATTGTTTCGCGAACTATAACGAACAGAGAGCGGACCGGACGCGGTTTGACGTCGGACAAATTGCAGCGTCTTCGTCGCGTGCGATCACCTGGCGACGGTCACGGCAGGGGCGGCAGCGTATGGCGGACGACAAACTATACAGACAATTATTATTATCATCATTAGTATTATTATTATTATTATTTTCGGTAAACCGTTTAGGACGCTATTCGCGAGATCATAATATTATAATTTGCCGGTTCGATGTTATAACATTTCGGATGGCGGCGCCGTTCGTGTGGGAATATAATTGTTCGTGTCATTTCAAAAATGCGCCGTAATAGTTGTCTCGCGTACTAAGCGCAGGTATTATTATTATTGCGACCCGAACTTTTGCCTCAGCCCGCCGTGCGCCGAATGTTTTGCTTTGAAGTAATCGCCGCCGTCCCGACGGGAACTTTACAACTCAAGTTCATTCGGTTCGTGTTAAGTTGGGCGACTGAAGTAATAAGTTATATCACACACAATGTGAAACACACTCGGAGCCGCGTTGGACACGATTACCGCCGGGGCGTAATAATTAAATAAATAATCCCAAGAAACTTTTTTTTTCTTAAGCGCACAATATAATCGACGTGCCCACGTGAGTTTGGTGTTTAATAGTTTTGACATAAAGCCATAAGTCTATGTCATCGTGCCTGCATTATGACGTTAATGTACTTATCAAGTATTAATCTTGTGTACAGGAAGTATGGATAAGTTCGGGCGTGTGTGGCCTATTATATTATTATAGATTATGGTTGCAACTTGCAATGTATATTAATTGTGTATACATTTATAAATTTTGAATTTATTTGAGTATTTTTGTTAATAACTTACATCATTGTATATTGTTTTGTTAAAAACAAAAACCTGCTATTTCTATAAAATATAATATATAATATTTTAAGTTTTACGTAATGAGTAATTTTTAAATTAAAATCTACAACCAGACCACCAATCAAACATCAACATCATCATCTCATCTTCCTAAAGGAAGTATAGTTATTCAACTTAATATTATGAGAATTACCTATAATGTAAAATATATCTAATGATCTAGTAGCCAACGTGACTAAGATTCATAAAAAATTAAATAAAATCCCCATATACTTTCAAAATAATATTTTATATATTCATTCCCTATGATTTGATGGTAACAGATGTAATTTTCAACGTAAATGGCTTATAAATTAAGTTCACATCACGATTTAGATTAAGTGAAATTTGAATATATAACTTAGGATAAAAAATTCGAACTCATCAATAGCATGGTGTATAATAATTAATAATATATTAGGTATAATATTATATTATTATGTTCATCTAAATTAAATGTCAATATAAATATAATTTTTTTTTTAGTGGCCCAGGTAGAATCGTTCATTAAATTATGTTATTATGTTTTATTTAATTTATATTTCCTAGACAGGTCTAGTTGGGATCAATACCATATGGTAACTTTATTTCGGATTGTTTTGGGTACTCGTATTCTACAATAATATTAATTAAACTTAAAATTAATACATTTAGTGATACAATATAATCCTTAGTCTCTATTATTTTAGGAGGTTTTGTACAGACAGACATTGTATGAATCTATACAATTATCTCAAGTTTCTTGCTAATAGATTGGAATCTTTGTCCAGTTTTGAATAAGTGATATTCTGTGGTATGAAAATGCTTACAATTCTCTCAGACTTGTAACAGTATGAAATTTAAATTAGGAATTCCTGGTACTATAATCTGGTATATAATATTGTTGCCATCATACACTTTACAGTTAGAAAATATTCATCTACTTATATAGGTAGTGACTATATTTTTATGATTTTTAGTTGTGATAAGGACTTAGTATGTTTATAAGTTATAATACTAGTATCAATTCATTCTGATTATTATAATGTTATATCGTATAGTTATTATAATCGTTGTAGACATTTTTTGAACAATAATATATTATTTTCGAAAAGATAATAATACGATGCTTTGGTTTTTTAAATGCAGTACCCAGATAAAGACGTTGGTTCACATGATTTGTTTTTGACATTTCAATGATTAAGCTGTGTCTATCTGTATTATAGATTGATAAACTATGAATTTTAAATGTGATCTTATTGGTGGTTTATAGATCGTTTAAATGTTGATTCATTCATTATAATTTTTTTATATGAAAATATATTTTTTTAGATTGATTTAATTTTTTTGAAATATTTTTTCTTTTAACCCATAAATTAACTTATTTCATGAGTACACATCAGTACCTATTTATATATATATAATAAAATAATGCAATACACCTCTGGTGTGCTTATACGTATTACTGTTGAAAGGCATATCATAATAATATTATAATTGTATATAAAGTAAAACGTATTATTGTTGATAATAATTCAATATCTATGTATTGCATATAAATGGATATAATAAATAAGAAAAAAAAAAGAAAGTTTGTATACTTCCAATTTTTTTTGTACTTTTTAACATTAAAAAATCGTGAAATTGGTCAGTTTAGAACACATTCAATTTTATGTTAAATTGCTATAACTGTCATTAGTTTAACTTTATCGAATTTATGGAGTTTGAGCTGGTATTTAAATACACTTTGCTTAATTTTCCAAAGCCATCTATACAATGCTCGTATTGTTTAAAATCCGTTTCATGTAGGTAGTAAAGAATACAAATAAGAATTGTGTTTTGCATTTTTTGACAAATGTTTGGATTTTATGGTTCTTAATCGTTATTTTTTTTTCCACAGAATTTTAAGAATCTTAAACCATTCAACAAAAAAAAATTGAATTGTTGATTTAAATTTAATATTATAACATGATCAAAAAATGTATGCAGAAAAAAAATAATTTAAAAAATTGTATTATTTTGTTCTTGGAGAATAATCATAATTTTATAAAATTACGAGTACCTGTAAAGAAATGATTTTTATTTCAATATGAAAGAACAGGTCTTGTAGGTATGCCTGATTGTGTCATACAACTTTTTAGAAGTTAATTTATAAATATTGTTAAAAATCAAAAACAAGGTCATTTATCGACTTATCGTATATGCGTAAATTATTTTAAATTGTAAGGGAAGGTGCTTAATGTATTTAACATTTACATTTCCTGTGGTACTGGTATTTAAATTCATAACAATAACGACATTTTTTCCAGGTATCGTGGGTTCGTCGTCGAGATTGGCATATACTAAGCTCCGGTGTTTTTATGTACACAAATGATGACAGATTTCATGTAATGCATGCAGACAACGCAGATAATTGGGATTTACAGATCAAATATGTACAAAAGAGAGATGCTGGTTCATATGAATGCCAAGTATATACATTTTTATCATAAGTATAAATTAGTAACCATAATAGTATTAGGAAAACTGTACATTACAATTAAGATAAATAAATATTAGAAATGTTTTATCACCGTAAAAAATAAATTAATATTGTGTTATCACCTAAGAAAAAAGTTAAAGGTAATACATTTTTGTTTCAAAAACATTCATATATCAACATATTATATGTAATACACATATTGTGCTGTTCAATGTTAATAATCACATAAAAAATTATGAATAAAGTATTCTGTTTCTAAATACAACATTTACAAATTACTGCCATTTCAACAAAATATGTTTAAAAATCAAAAAGTTAATTATTATGGGCTAATACAAAAGCGATTACATGACAAGAGAAAACATTTAATTTCAAGGATATGAGAGGATTATTCAAAGCATACAAAATAAAGTAAATACTATTATATACCTAAGTTTTATTTTCCAGTTATATTTAGGCTGAAAATTAGTAACTATACAACACTAAAAATATAGGTGTGTTTATGCGGGTAGCTGCCTACCCACTAATTTCTGCAACATGCAGCCTATTCATTTTCGAGTAGACAAAATACCATTATACCTATACCAGAATCATACTAGATAGAAGTTCAAGGAAAGGGGCACTTTGAGTGACAGTAACTACAAACAACGTCTTCAATTTTATGAATTTTTAACAACCCACCAACAAAATAATTTGAAATACATATTCGAAATGTAGACAATTTTCATACTTAAAACACTTAAAAATAAAATCGAGAGTATGTATATTTTTCATAATTTCAAATTGCTATGACATAAATTGATGATGTTCCTCGTATTATATTTTAAAGACTTGGGTATTAAAATTAAAAATGTTATAAATTATTAAGTATTTAATTGTTGATATTTTTACGAAAATCGTCAATATAATATTGTTCTTAACTTCAAACCCGTGTAAAATAAATAAATGTGATTTTTTATATTTAAAAAAACTATAAAAGTACAACTTTTGAGGAACCTTGTAAAGTTGTATACCTTTTTCTTTTTCAGGATTTTTGACTTAGAAACAGACATTTTATCACTAAGTATAGTTAAGTTGAAAAACAACTAAAATTGTATACAATTTCCAATGACCATAATTTATAGCTCTAGACTATTTTGATAAGTACCTCGAGTTTCACCAAAATAATAACTAGTATATCTAATTTCCTTCTAAAAAGCCCCTTCAAAGTTAAATATTGAAGTTATTTCTGCTGCAAAAATTTAAAAAAAACACTACCAAGAACACTCCTCGTAAAAATAATACGCTCCATAACACCCTCCCAGAATTTGACTGTCTTGCTTATTAGGTATGACATTTTTTTAAATTTTAACTATCAATAATAGTTTGGTACATAACGTTCAATATTGTGTTCATAGATTATAGTAATATAATATCATGAAATGATGATATGATATTTTTATTATAATTTATTATATAGAATAAAATAGATTGCCAACTATGATGATACGCGAAGCTACAATAAATTCGTCTTTTAAAAGTGGCCCATGGGGTCTAATGACACCTATTTACTGTTGATAATGAACATAGATAATTTTTACATATTATACAAATTATTTAATGATATCTCATATAAACACGAGTGATAACTGATAACGAACATTGGCCACGACTAAAATGGCGACCAGTAGCTTCAATAAATTACATAGGTGCTTTATCGCGGGTAGCAATCTAGTTTAGGTATTCTACACATCTGTGTTTTTACCCGAAATGTAGGATATCAGTGCTAATGATCATGATTTTTGAAAGCGGAAAAATTTAGTTTAATAATAACTATAGCTTGGACTCTATAAAGTATAGACAATAAGGATTGATTTATAGTATGATTTGAATTAAAGTTTTGTCTTCGTGTAGTTGCAACCTATATGCAAGTAAGCAACACACACGTACCTACACAAAATACACAACACCAAATGTTGATATTGCTTTGATGTTTACCCACCCCTGAAGGATCCTTCGATATACATTTCGAGTACTTTGCTATCCCAAATCCCAATGTTGTGAACTTATTTGTATGACAGACTAATTTAAATTTTCCACGAATGTCTGTTCTAAGATCAGTAAATCACTCTAAACAAGCGACATCTTAACGAATACTACTTATTGTGTTAACAAACACTGATTGTCTGATATCACAAGTTCGAAACAATGTTCAAAGTTTAAGTACAGTTTAAGTGTGTAAGATTTAAACAGTAAATATTATACATTTATTCGTATTGCTTAAATGTTCGATATGTGTTTAATAATTGTATATATACATACAACTAAACCTAACAACATATTATATTTTATCAGTTATTTATTAAATAAATATTTTTTATAATTTTATTCCCTCAAATATGATAACATTATAATATTATATACCATTATTCTTTTTATAATATTTTCAATAGTGAGATTTCTCAGGTGGTATATTTGAGATGAATTTTGGTAACAAAGTAGGTAATGGATAAATATGTCATCCTTATTAATTTTTAGCCCTTAAGACAAAGAAACTGATAGATATGTACATTAAGATGATGGAAGGATGATGGTTTCAATTTAATTCGTACAAATAGCTGATTTGACGCTCAGAGCTTAAACTATTAAACTATTATACTATTAAATATTATAGCATATCAGAAAACATAAAACTATATTTAAAAAATAACCACTAAACATAGATTTTACTTTACCCAAGAAATAATTTTGACTAAAATTTCATTCCTGTTAGAAAGGCACAATTTAAAGAGTTTTAATGAGGTTGCGAGTCCTTCTGAATATTCTCGCTTGCATAATATACTCACAAACTCATTATAATTGACTAGTCGGTATATCAAATATTCATAAATCGATTTAACAGGTGAATAACTTATATTTTATATAGGCATATAGCTATGTACGATTTTTAACGATTATTTGGTATAGTGATAATTACATTTACAAAAGTATAAAATACAACTGTCAAAGATTTTGTTTCTTAAAATTATGACAAAGTTTATTTCGTATAAATATTATTAAATATTATATTATGATGAATTTGTGATTTAAGGTGGCGATGGGAACGGGTATTGCTTCGCATTACTATAATTTGGATGTAATTGTACCAACGGCTCGAATTTTAGGAAGAGAAGAGTACCATATTGGCAAAGGAAGCACAATAAATCTTATCTGTGTCATTGAAAATGTAAGTTTTAGTTTATTAAATTGTATTTAAATAGTTTTAATGAATAACAACACATTATATTTCATAATTAATACATAGGTAATGGTTTAAAACTAAATTTATTATTAGCTGGAATAATAAATAATACATACGCAAATATTGTTGAATACTTAGGCATAAGACGCTTATTTTAAATTAAAAATATATACAAATATATTAATCAAAATATTATTTTTTAAATATATTTTATAAATTTCATGTTTGATCATATAGAATATTAAAGTAATATGTTTATTATATGTATTAATATGTATAATATCTTTAATTTTTTTCTTTAAAATTTAACTTATAAATATATTATGTTCTGATAGTATTCACTAGTTGTTATTTACACATAGTTAGTATAGGTAATGCTGTTACGAAAAAAAAAATTGAGAAATTATTTTTAAAATGTGAATTGCGTACACTAACAAAAAATATAAAATGCTAAAAACAATCAAAATGATATTTGTTTAAAATAAAATATATCACAATATTGTTATCATTATACATATTTATTATCAAATATTTCCTAAACATATTTATGTAAATTTGTTTGAATAAGAATATTTTAATACTAGTTTTGAGCAATCACGTTCCTTTAGTTCCATTCCATATATAGAATTATTAGTTCGATGGATTTGTTACTAGCTTAATGTTTTCAACAAAAAAAAAATTAAATAATTTTGACAGATTATAATATGTTAAATATATTTAAAAAAAAACTATTTAAACTAAATAATAAAATATAAATTAATATGTTTTACAGTACTTTGGTACTAATTGTAAGTTGTTACTTTATATTCTGGCTTAGAACTTTATTTAAAAAGCTATACGCATTCTAAATTTATAAGCAGAGCACAACAGTTTATTTTAACACATATTACAATTTTGTGTTAAGTAAAAGTTTTAGGCAAAGTAAAGTACCATATACGAATTAACACTCATCATCTTAAATTAATTAATTTTGTTAAAATTATATTTCAAGAAATCGTAAATACTTATTTAAAGAATAAAGTAACTAGCGAGTAAAGATAAATCACCAAATTCATAGTATTTTGTTGTGTAAGGTTTTTGCATCTATAATTAATGCTGACATACTATAAGTACTTAATCGTATACACGGCTCAAATGTTTTTAATATTTTTATTTGATTTTGTTCAGAGTATTTCAAGTTTGAAATACCTATATTCCAAATATTTATATGAGTGTATTAGAATTGTTATTTATTATATTTAAAAACTTTGTAAACATAAGATAATCTACAGAAATGGAGTACCAATATATTGTAGTAAATGTATTTTATACCTTTTTCAATTGTATTCGAAATATACACTAGGTACGTATAAAACTGTTATTTGTAGTCAATACATTCACAGTTTAATTAAGTGTTGTAAACTTGTCAAGATTCAAGGGTTTTCATTATAAAAAAATATAAGTAATGTCAAATGGTAAAATGCATTCAAACCTTTTTCGATCTGTTTAAATTGCACACTTTATAAAACAATATAAATGTAAATATGCTTGTGTTCACATAATTTTGTAAATGCGTAGAGGTATTATATTATATTTAAAGGCCAGGACAAATAACCAATAGGTCTGTTTAGAGACCATCTTGGGTCGGCGATAACCACTTAAAACTAAGCGTACATCATAGTAGCCAAAATATCTTAGAATAGGTTGGGAGATGGAAACCTATATCTAGGTACCTTAGTTAACAAAGGCAAAGGCTTAGCAATAAAATATTAAAATCGTATTTTTTAGTCAAAAGCCTGAGTTCTTCAATAAATTAAATTAAATGATAAAATATTTTAATATCATGTTAAATTATCAATATTATATTGTTTTTAAAAACGGTACGAATGTAGTAAACCCTAACACCAATATTACATGTAATATTTTATAGTTTTGTTAAACCATTGTTAAGGACTTTAGTTCTTACTATAAACATTTTAATAACTGAAAAATTATTAGTTTGAGCTTTGTGTAGGTATATAAACATTTTCAAAAAAAAAAAATATCTATTAAATAACTTAATGTTAAAATAGAAAGTTGTGTTTTCGTATTAAAAAGAGAAGTTTGTATTACCGCAGAACGCTACTTAAGTAGTAAAAAAACCACAAGAATTAAAAATATATGACCTTTAAATAAATTTAAAAATTCTAACAAAATCAAAATTTGAATAAATTGTATGGAAATTGTGGATAAACATGCGTAGTGAATCACCTTGTATATCATAATATATGCTGGATATTTCGTATTATTTTTCTAGTATAATACCTAGGATAACAGCAAGAACATCTTGATATCATATTTTATATTTTTCATTTTTTTCTTCAGAAAACCTTAAACCTTAAGTATACTATAAGCTTGTACACGTATAAGAGACAGCATTATCATACCCCTAAAAATAAAAATAAATAAAACTTCCTTGTATACGTTAATAAGACTTGCACCACCTTATATTTAGAATATAATTAAAATGGGAATACCTATCTGTAATCAACAGTCTACTATAAATTGTAAATATATATCACCTTCATGTCTGTAATATTATAGCAGCTGCTATATGGCTGTATGAATAAAAAATGTTGTAATTAAAATCGTTGTAACTTATTATAAATTGTTAAACAATATTCTATATTATACTCGTTACTATCTATATTCACTTAATTGATAACGAAATAAATTATTTTACATTTAAGTTTCTACCTAATGATACGTTTATGTGATAAAAGTATTTTGTTATAGTTATATCTGAAAACCGAATTCTTAATAATAAATAATAACAACAATTAATAAATAAATATACGCAAATATACACTAATAAAGGTAAAAACATTTAAATAGGTATGCTAGAAAAACTATAGTTTACAATTCAACTGTTATAATTATACTTATAATATTATTTTTAAGTGAAAAAGTGCATAAATTATAGAGGGCCACAATATTTCCTAACAATATTTCTAATGTTTGTTATAATAAAAAGTTAAAATTATATTCTGTAAACGTATTTAACAAAACTTTAATACTAAATACTTTGGCCCCCACCGAACATGTTCAGGTTTTGTCCATTATTTTCTCGAAAAAAAAATAATAATAAAAGAACTAGAAAAACTACAAGTTTAGTAAGGTTACAACAGTAGGCATGTTCCATATTTATTTTTGTGAATTTATATTAGTGATACTGCACTTTACTTTGACGGTTGTTTTTGGAGCATTATAGGTAGTTACATACAATTGATATAGATGGGGAATTATTTTGCATAAGAAGATCTTCGGAATTAATTCTCTCGCTTTGGGTTGTTTTAGAGATATTTTTTAATAATGTTGGTCCAGTATTTTTTCTGTTAATATTATTCACATTTAGTTTTAATAACTGCACTGGTTTTATTTTTAGGAAAGATATTTACACATTGTTCAATTTTTTTTAGTTAAGAGTAAAATAGTAAGAGTAAGATTTTTTCTGTAAATAGTAAATTGTAAAATTCAAGATTTTTGATTCTTACAATTATAATTGAGGGATCAACTTTAATTGACAAAATCAGGATTGACGTTGGATTTATTCATAATTAATCTAAATATTTTAATAATCTAAGGTAATACTAAGTAATTAAATATCTATACATCAAGTATAAAAATATCAAAAATTAAATTAAAATATATATATATTTATAAATGTTAATGGATCAAATAATATTTATACCCAAAAAAATATGCAGACAAATGCATTTAAATTAAAAATATTTAGTAACACCTGAAATATGCAAAAACATGCAGCATCTATACAGTTTTGTCATTTTATAGATCAAGTAATGATTATTATGAAAACTCATTGACTGCATATATAAGATGCAGATAAAAATAGCAACTTACATTTTATGTAAAATTTGGTTTTAGGCACTTATATCAGTTATATCTTATAGATTATATATTTCAGGAGATCCGTATTAAAACCTAATCATCGAATAATAGTTAGCATTAAGTGACAAAACATTATGTTATATCCATTGAGTGTCTATTATTATTACAGCGTCCAAATAACTTCTTTCATAAACAGAAAATCTCAGAACAAATTATTTTGTTAGTGTGAAATAGCATTAAAGTATAAATATTGTATGATAAATGCTGACAGTCACCACTTAAAGTACACATGCCAAACTACAATTGACACATTAATCTGACAAATCGATAAAATATTACGCATATTTAATAATATTGAATGTTGATATTTAAGATTCGCATATTGATTTTTGGTAAATGTTGACATACCCATAACACGGCATCGGTTAATGTTGAAATACATAATATGACATATTATGCTCGAATTACACACTTTTATCCAAATAATAGATACTAATATTATATAACATACGACACACTTGATTATTAAATCTTTAAGTTATTACCATACATGTTGATGAAAATAATTATCATCATCATATGTAATACAACTGTTAAAATGTCTTGGAATCAACTTGAACGCGATCTGCATTACCCATGTTTACAATTTACAAACGTAGTAATTTGTGTTGTATTTTGTAACTATTTTGTGCGTATTTCTACGAAAGCCAATATCAAGGTTGATAATATGTTTCTAGTATTTGTGATTTATCATTGTTAAATTGGCACACGCTTTCTCAAAATCAATATCACATAGTTAGTGCAAATACAGGTTGAATTCTACTGTATTTTGTAATATTATATGCCGTGGGATAACAATTTAATCCAGAACTTATTTTATTTCAATCTTATATATTCTTACTTTCAAATAGGAGCAGAACCATATTCCAACAGTCGAAGATAAGATTTTATAAGCATACTCGTACAGTCAGTCGCGCGTTTTGTGTCACAGAGAAAATAATTTAGTTTTAGTACCGCTTCCCTTCTAAAGGTATGATTGGAAATATTTGGTTATCCCTGCTACAACATATACGATTCTAATAAATCAACATGAGATAGATTTGTATACAAATTATTTA